TTTGTCAATTGGGCAGTTTTTGAAACAACAATTAAGGAGTCAAAGATAGAAGTTTAAAATTTATACAGGTACAAATATAATAGGTAACCCAAAATTAGCAAAGTTAATTAAAACGCGTGATTTTTTATTTCATGCAAGTGGTAATGACTTTCCTAGAAATTGCCTCATAGAACATGCAAATTCAAGCTCAAATAGGGACCATTGCTTTTTAAAACACGTAATTTCTTATTTCGTGCAAGTGGTAATGACTTTCCTAGAAATTGTCTCATAGAACGGGCAAATTCAAACTCAAGTAGGGACCATTGCTTTTAAAGCGCGTAATTTTTGATTTCATGCAAGTGGTAATGACGTTCCTAGAAATTGTTTCAAATGATGATATTTCCTTTTGAGATAACCAATCTTGGAGATGATAGCAAGCCCTTTCTATTACTTGGAACATTCACATTTTGAATTATTCTTTCTTTTCTCGTCATGTATCGTTCATGATCATCATTCCTTTTCAAACTTTGTTTATCCACCATATGAACTTAAGTGAATTGATCTGTGTTTTCCTCGAAACTAATTGTTCTGAATTCCACCCATGTCAGTCCAAATCCTCAATGTGTGTCATTCTTTTGGAGCTTAATTATCCATGATGAACAAAACAAAAAAGGATTCTCTATATTGATATCATACTGTTTAAATTGATTATAGATGTATACAATTTCACGAGTAATGTTTAAATAGTGAGATTTCTATAATCTAAAAAAAATAAATCAACATTTTAGTTTTTAAGATTAAAAATCCTAAATCACTTAAATACTTGAATTACTCCTTTTAACAAGTATGGTTTACACATCAACTAATTAATTATGCAAATTTTGATTAAATATTTTTCTAACACAGTTGTTTGCCACGTACAGGAAAATGGTTCTTTTTCGGACACACCACCTAGAGTAATAATATTTTCAATTAATGATGGAATTTGTAAATATAAATTTGAATTTAGACAATGAGAAGAGGTCAATTATAGGACAAATTGGTATATTGTTAAATGATGTTGTAGAAGATTATAGATGATTGAATTATCATATATTTTTTATTCATATGAAAGAAGGGTTGCTACAAACTACAATTTGGATATTAAATTATTAACAATATAAGCTCAATATCATTTGATT